AAAAAAAAAGGCTGCTTTGCATTAGTTTCATACAATAACTATTTAATATAGAAATGAGAAACAATACTTTTAGGATCCTAGAAGGCTAATTTTGGAACTACTCAGTTTCAAGAGTTAAGAGTTTAATTGACAGGCTACAGTAACAGATCCTCAAACAGCATAATTACCTGTTAAAATTTTTTTAAAAATCAATATTCATGAAAATAAAACAGCTTTGTGTTTTTTCCCCTGTGAATATAATTATCCTAATTCTCTAACAACATCCTTTTTGCATTAATGAAATCAAGGACTGCGCTCACCAAATATGAAACAGAAGTTCTTAGAAAGACAAATCACAGCCTAGGCAACCAATGCCCCTGTAAATCCAAAGACTTGGTACAACAGAAGGGAAGTATATGTAAGCTCTTGAATATAAAAGAAGACTTCTAATAAAGAATAAAGTTCTTCCATCCTGGGATTTTACAATTTCACTGAGACGAATCAGAAATCATTTCAAGGAGACTTAAGGCTTAAACTGACTTATTTTTTAAAAAAAACAGTAAAACATTTCCTAATTCTACTTTTTATTTGAATAAAAGCACAATGTATAGCATATTAATCTGTTTAGATGTACTTTATTATTCATAATATTTCCAAGTTATTGTCTTTTTGCTGTGAAAGAAGTTAATATTCCCATTATATAGATGAGAAAATTAAGGCACAAGGTGGTTAACTGACTTGGAGAGTCAGAATGCAGAGAGGAAACAAAGGTGGGATGAAGAGACAAAAAGACCAGTGTCAAAATGGAGTATGGGCACCTAGTAACTTTTAGCAAGTTGGCCTCCTGGACCTGTTCTTTTCATCTGTAAAATAGGTAAATAGGTATAACACCACCTACCTTTCAAATGTTTGAAGTAAGGCTTAAGCAAAGTACTTAACAGAATGTTTAGTTCATAGCCATTCAACTCACATAGTCAACTTTCTTAACAACCCACAATCCTATTTTATTTCACCCAGTACAGTGGATATATAACCAGTGCATAATGCTATTGGGAAGTAAATAAGATACTGCATATAGTGTGCTTGGCAAATACAAGGTTCAATATATTTATTCTCTCCCTCCATCCTTTACCCTACAGTTACTAAATGGTTGAGCAACAATCAAATCCAAATATTCATTCCACTATGGAACTGTTTCAGCACACACATTTTATTTATGGTAGGATCTTACTCAACCACAAAATTTAAACTATCTGATTAATCAGTTATTTTAATGTGTCCCCAGTAAAATCAAATTCATTTCTAGAGTAAATTCACCTTTCAGTAATCACACAAAGGGTAATTAATATTTCTGACATGCAAATATGTATTTTTTCAGTACATATTTCGACTGGAAATTCTGCAATATATATTCTTAATAATTGACAAACTACTATAACCTGAGAAATAGTTAAAAATTTATTCTTTAGATGCTAGGCACAGCTGTACCCTATAGTCCCAGCCACTCAGAAGCTGAGACAGGAGGATCACCTGAGCTAAGAAGTTTGCGTCCACTCTGAGCAACATAGCAAGACCTTTGTCTTTAAAAAAAATAAATTCCTTAGGTCATTATACGTGTAAGCATCTAAATGACTTCATTCAGTATACTAAGTTCAAAGATATTAGATAAGGAAAATGAAAAATGTTCATTTTTCACTTTCCCTATGTTCTCCCAGATAAAATAACGAAAGTGACAAATGTGGTAAATATATAAGTAAAACAAATGAGTGAAAAATAGATGAGTGGACCATATCTGCATTTATGAGGCAATGACCTTCAAAACTGGCACTGAAGAACAGTGTTCTTCACGGGAGAGCAATTACACTACAACCCTCCCATGTATACTTTTATTTCTCAGGGTCTACAACTATATTTGCATATCAGAAAGAATGAAAGAACAGTCTGTAACTGTGGTAACCTTCATTGAGAAAATATAAGCATTTTCATTACCCTAATATCACATCTTAAATGTCAGATCAGTATAATAGCTGCATTATGAAAGGACAGACCAATATTTTGACAGAATTTCCTACAACTGAAATTTACCAAATGTAGCCATCATAACTCCAACCCAGTAATACATTTCTGATTCTGCAATACCCTAGATGGTCTTTGATTATCTCAAGAGACACTAAAATCTTTCTAAAATAGATAACCTTACTGAAACAAAAATACAGCATACAACACTTTAAGGAAAAGGAGTTCAAATTATGACCAAAAAATTTTAAAATACATAGTATACAGTACTGCAAACGCCTAAAATGTTGGGAATACTGCTTAACCTAGTAAGAAGCTCGGATCCTTTCTATACTGATTCAAAAGCTCTGTGCCCAGGGTTTGACAAATGAGCACAGGCACATATATACACACAGAAATGTAAAAGGGAAAAACTTCTTAAGGTCAATTTCTAAATACTCAAAAGCTAAATGCAAAAAAAAAAAAAGTCAATTTCATAGAAAATACTGTCTTTTTTCTACATTTCCTCACATGGGTAAAAACAAAAGCCATTCACAATAGTAGTGCCAAAGAATGACAACATCACATATACTTTAGAATTCCTCTGTTTTTCAAATTCCATACAAGAATCACAACGCACAATCACTAACATGGTTAGATAATGGACACTTACTACAGTGTGGCCATATTACACTCACCTAAATTTTTTTAAAGTGGCCTAGATTTTCTCATAACATTGAATTGCAATAATGTAAAATAAGAGCAGTAGGAAATAAAATACAACCACAGCAGGATATAGCAAGCACAAATCCAGTAAGTCCTCTTTAAATTAAAAATATTCTTTTATCAATAGTAATAAAAACTACCCACAGTTCTGACACCAACTAACCAACCTCAAACCTTCCACTAACTGGGGAAAAATAACTGGATGCCTTATTGTGTGATACCTTAAAACCACAAGGTTATCAATCATTTCTAGCAGAATGGTGATGTGAATTGTGTTTTTTTATTATTATTTTTCCAAAGTCTCAACAAATAGCAATATTTATAAATAAAAATAGAAGATAATTTCAAAAAACAGATCATGCCAAATCTTATAGACAACAGAAAAAGAAATAACTTCAAAATCATTCTACTTCATCTGGATATACCTGATATTAAAATTGGAAAAAATATATTATAAAGAGGGAAATTACAAACATATTTTACTTGTAAATGAGGATGCAATATCCCAAACAACATATTAACAAGTTGAATTAAAAATTATGTTTCATTTGTACTTTATACCTTGGCAAAAGTGAATGATCTGCCCCTTAAATTTTTATTTCACCACATACCCCAAAGTATTCTTGGGACTCATGAAGTTTAAATCTCACACTGCTCTTTATATGCTATTGTGTAAATGCTTTAAATTTTAAAACAAAACGATAAAGACTTTTTAAAAGCTCTTGACAATGCATTCACATAGTAAAGATGACAATTCAATGTTTTCTCCTATCCCACCAAAACAAAAAGCAAAAAATTGTACATGGCACAATGATACAATAGAAACAAAAAGTAGTATGCTACTCGTTCAGTAGGGACAGAATACACAGCATCTCTCCATCATATTCAACTACAAAAACCCTTTCACTTGATGACTAGCATCTGTATAACTGCTTAGTCTGTATTTAAGTGGCCTTAAAAAAGAGATCTTATGTTCTTTCTCTACCCTCATGGATCTTTGGCAGGAGTCAGCACTTAACGCCCAGAGCTGGTCTGGGGGGTGGGGGGGGGTGGAGAAAAGAGAAAGTGGAGAGAAGGCTGAACTGAGCACCGAGTCAGCAGAGAGCAGCTGCTCTCATACACTACCGAGAACACTACGCTATTTTCCGCTATTAAGCACTGTCAGCAAAAATAAATAAATAAGGGGGCGGGGGCAGGGAGACACTGAGGAGGGGAGGGGACTCGGGCAGACGGTTTTTGTCTGTCACATCTGAGCCTAGAAGCCTCCTCTGGTTTTAGGCTGCAAAGGCAAGGGATCAGGTGAGACCCCTCCGGGTCCAACTCTATTTACTTCTCCACAAAGAGCAATTTCGGGCGGTAAAACCGCAGGATCCTCCCAGCTCATGAACTAAACGCTGGAGCATTGTCAATGTTTTCAATCTCTGACTTTTTTATATAAAGGAGAGGGGGTTGTGACTGCATTCCCGGGAAAGACTACTATTCCTGACATGCCACACAGCAATAGTGAAGGAACATAAGCAAGAGGTTGTAAAAATCCCTTCAAAAATACCAGGTTCTGAAATAAATGCTGTGCAGCATTATCGTATTGTTGGCGTTTTGTAAGTCACCGATTCTTCTTGGCCACAGCCAGCCCCTAAATCTCTAGGACTTGTTGATAAATCATTATCTCACGCCCCCTAAAACTACCCTACACAATAAGCTTTGGGGATCGAAAGCGGGAGGGGGGCTAAATTTTTAAAGCCCAGAGGTCTGGGCTGCCTTCAATAGGCCACTCTGCCTGGGCTGCGCGTTCAGTTCTACCGTCTGAAAGCTCTGACTCACAAATGCTGGGGGGGAAATTATGACATAAACCATTATCCTTCCAACCAAAGAGAGATAAGAAACGCCAGACGTCCTTGCCCCTCTGGAGAGCCAAAGCCTGCGCCCCCCGACGGGGCGGCCAGGCTAGGAGCCTCCTGCCCTGCCCGCGGGAGCCCTCAGAAGGGGCTCCCCACCCGGGCGAGCCCGAGGAGCCAGGTCCGGGCGCCTTCATCCCCCTAGAGGGCAGGAGAGGAGTTGGGGGTGCGGGACGCGGGGACTCGTCCCGTGGAGGCGCGGAGCACCGGGGTCGGGTCCCAGGAAGGGGCTCTGGCGAAAGCGCCCCTGCACAGGGAGGTACGCTGCAGCCAGAAATGGACAAAGCACGACGCTGGAGCCTGGGCGACCCCTGGGTGAGGGCCGCCGGCCAAGTTGGCCCGACTCTGGGGAGAGGGGGGCGGGGGTCCCACCGGCGGGGCGGGGCGGGGCGGCGCTGCGCTGACCTGAATGGTGCAGGTGTACTCGCTGTCGTCCAGCAGCCGCACCGTGCAGCTGTACTCGCGCTCCAGGCTCCTGCTGCTGCCGCTCATCAACCTGCTCAGCATCTTCCCGCCCGCCCGCCCCCGAGAGCGACGCGGCGGTGCTGCGGACCCTGGACCAGGAGCCCCTCAGCCCGGCAGCTCCGCGCCGACCTCGGGCACCTGCACCATCACCCCGGCCCTTAGCTGTCGCTGCCTCCTGTTGGCCCGCTCCTCCTCCTTCTCCTCCTCCTCCTCAGCCACCACTGCCTCCCCCCAAGCCCAGAGCCAGCACCGGGCTCCGACGCCTCGATGCCCCACTGCCCGTGCCCAGCCCGTGGGGCGGGGCTCGGCCGTAGGAGGCCAATGGGGGTCAGCGCGGCGGAACCGAATGGCAGACGGAAAAGCCAATAGAAATAGGATACTGGGATGATGGGCGGTTTGGAGAAGCAATCACGGGAAAGCAGTCGGACCAAGCCAAGCCGGACCGGCCCTCTAGCGTCCCAAACTAGGGGCTCCTGGATGCTGTTTCCCCTCCCCCGGGCCAGGTGTGGGCACCCGGCTAGATTGATGTCTGCTGCGTGGAATATATTTGAGCTCTGTTTCAGGCACCAAATCCCGCAGCCTGCAACGCGGGGATTCCAATCCTCTTGTGAGCCAGGGAGAGGAGGCGACGGAGTACAAGATCACAATCCCTGCACCTGCAGAATGCGGGCACCCTTCACTACAGACCAGGCGGCTCCCCCCAACCAGTGCAGCACCCCAAGACTTCCCAGCGGTCCTCTGTACTCCAGCCCTCTTATTTGGGGGAACATCTGCTTTACAGGAGCTACTTAAGTAAAAGCTGCAGGACCGCACAGGTTCTTAAGCACCCCGATTTAACCCCTAAAAAACGCTGCTCTCTAACACCCTTCGCCTCCCTCCTTTTATTTTCAGAAGACAAAAGGAGATTGAGGCGTGCTCCTTCAGCTCCTTCAGCTGGTAGGAAACAGTAGGGAACAGAGGAAACGATGGATGGGACGGATGCTTTCCTTGCACCCTTAGAACTAGGATTATGTCTTCAGACTTCCTAAACAACACATCATAGTATGTCAGGAGGTATTCATCACAAAGAAAAAAATTGTCTCCTTTTCTTTGCCACCCCACCCCGAAAGACTTAAAGTTCTTTACTAAGACTTCATTAAGAAACATATTCTTCCTCAAAGAATTTTGATAGAAGGAAATGTTATAAAAGAATTATGTCAACACAGAACATAAAGCTGTAATAAACGTATTAATTTAAAATAATGAAATATGCATACTTTCCTATTTTTTTGTTTATAGACATGACACATAACAAAAATGAAACCCTATATTAACCTAGAAAAACATCCAGCCTTTAAAGTCTGCTTCTTCCCTGTGTCTTTGGATTCCAATATTTTCCCCCACTCTTTTTGCCCTGGGAGATCTCTCTCTTCCCCCCACCCCACCTTAGTAACCTTGATTGCTCTTCTTATTGGTTGCATTCTCCCTTATGTTATTTATAGCTTTAGGAGGAGATTCCTCTTTTCAGTGCAATTCTGTTGGAGTTAATTATGAGACTAGAACTAGAGTCAAGTGTTCCAGGCATAAAACCAGAGGTGAGCTCCTTTACTTTGTAACCCCAGCAGGTCGTCTGACGCCTGAAGCATAATAGGTATCCAATAAATGCTAAACTGAAGAAAATGGATCTGATAGATATTCTACAGCATTTAAATACCAGGGGAAGAAAATCTTTGAAGAAACTCAGAATTTCAGGAAGATCTAATATGCTAAAGTGATATTCTACAAAGTTCACCTTTGTTACGTAGCTGGAAGATTATGAAAGATTTCAAACAGGAAGAACTTCTTTTGAAGGCAAAAGTTGCTGTTTTTTATAGAATCTACAAGAACATGAAAAAAATGTCCAAGAAGGTAGAGGAAATCCATTAGGAAAGTGTCTTTAACAGGTTATGCAAATAAGCAGCTGTTCAAATAAAAAGGCAAAGCACCATGAATCCAGAAAAGCTCTAAGGAACTGAATGCAGTCTTTTGTCAAAGTGTGGCAGAAGGTAGATGAAATCAACAGGGATGAAACTGTACTATGCCAATGCAGTAAGTACCATCCCTGCTTAGCTAAGAAAACCATGTCTGCATAGATGCCCACCTTATTGAAAACAAGTTAGATATTCATCCATATTATGCATGATATCCAGAGAGAGCTTCAAATTCTCCCTTCCTCTCTAATGCCAAACACTTTGTGAGGAAAACAGAGGATGGAAAAATAATGAAAGAAAGCCAGGCTCAGCGCCTGTGGCTCAAGTGGCTAAGGTGCCAGCCACATACACCAAAGGTGGTGGGTTCAAATCCA